AATTAAATGAATTATAAGCCCTAGCAGTAACTGTATTCCAGGCATACTAAAACCCAACCTGGTAAGGGTTTCTGTATTTGTAGACCTCATGGTTGGAAGTGATTAGAAGTAAAAGGCTCCAATTCAAATTATACTTCATGCGCCCTGGATTTGAGATTGGGAGAAATGTTGAACAGGCCTTGAGTTTACCGCTCCTTCCTCAAACACCAAATAAACTGAGACCCTGAACTCAAACAAACACAAGGTCCTTAAGTTAACACAGCATTCCTCCATCTTCAATGGAGAGGTGGGAGGGGACAGAAGGGTTGGTATCCAAACATTCCTTTTCCATTCCAATATAAAATTACAAGGAGGTTTTAAAACTTTGTTTAATACATTTATGTGCCATCCTTTCACAACACAGAACAGTTCATATAAAAACAAATGAAAACAATATAGAATCAGCAGCAGCTACACAGAGAGAGAGAGAACAAAACAAGCGCCAAACCAACCCAATGCCTTCTACTGTAGTTCATTTCATAGCCAAAGACTCTAATCCTTGTGGCCAATGTTTTATTTTCGTTCAATCAAGAAATGTAGACAGAACAGAAGCACAGAAATCATGGAGGCTCCAACTGAAAGAGGCAGGTACATGGGTCCCAATCTATGAAGAACTTGGATGCTAATTAAAAGCCAGTGTGACAATGCTAATGATTATGTCTCCAAAGCACAGCATTCTGCAGCAGCTGAAACATAAGAGATATCTTTAAGGGCAGTCCCATGCATTTCACTAATATTATCTGAAGAGGCCCCTATGCCATTGTGACTGGATATTACGGCTTAGAGGGCTTTTCTGTGAGCAATGACGCATTACCCTCTCAGCCTACACACCGATTGTTCATGAAAAACTGGAGCACAAGAGGGAGATCCAAGTGGCCAAAGCTTTCAGAACAAAGCACATTATTTGGGGTAATATACAGGAACTGAAAGGAACAGACTTTGTGCAAGGCAGGGATAAAGGGAGTTGCTATGGATGCTGGAGGCAAGTCTCGAGAAGGCTGAACAGGAACTGAAAATGTCTGAAGGAGCTGGGAAGTCAGATAAAGCTATAGATCTGATATGTTGCAGCAGCCAGAATTTGGAGTATCAGTGAATAGTGAATAGGAAAAGTATTTACTGGGTGTGTGTGTGTGTGTGTGTGTGTGTGTGTATACAGATAGATAGATAGATAGATATAGATATAGATATAGATATAGATATATAGATATAGATATATATAGATATATCTGCATATTGCAATGATGAATTAATCACAATCTTATACCAGACAGGTAGCTGGAAAAATTAACAAATTAGGTGTATGTGAAGATCTCCTTACAGGTGAATTAAATACTGAAGCAATTTGATCACACCTTTAAACCAATTATTCATATGTGCAATATGTCACACATACTCATCTAAAAATGATTTAATACGCCATTTTTCTCTCTCCTTAGTGCAAGAATAAATAACACAATTCAGAGGACTCCCATTTTTCTTTACCTGGCTTATGAATGTCAAGCACTCTAATGTTTATCTGAACCAGCTTCCAGAATGATAATGAACTTGGAAGTTACTCATTCAACAATACATTATATGTGTATCACCAATTCCTTTCTAAAGTTCTTGCCTGGCACTATCGTCATATGGAAAGATGTGTGACACCTTAAAGTAACCCTGTACAGTAGAAAATTTCTCATTTGAAGTCACTGCAATCCTCTGCAGTCTGTTCAAATAAATACAATTCATATCCAGATATCGGATGGCATTTCACAGCTTAATCACTAGCTATTGCTTTCCGATTCACTGCTTACTATTAAATAACAAAAGCATACCTAATTTTTCAGACAACCATCCCACTCAGGTTATTCCTCAGGGTCCTCCCAACTTAAGCCTCTTGTTGAATTCTTTTTTGCCAGATGTGCATATAATTTATATTGGAGCAAAGTAATTTTAGTCCCCGCATCAGAGCTGCACTATTTCTGCACTGGGGTTTAGTTTACAAAAGGACTAATAGGCTTCCTTATCTATGGGGAAGAAAACAAAAAGGAACTGCTGTTGCCTTGTCTCCACCTATCATCTAGCTATCTAGCTCTTATCTCTTTAGCCCATCAGTACCTAACACTCTGAGAATTCTAAGACTCTCAAGAAAGATTCATTCTCTCTCACACAAAAACAGAAACATTTCATTCCAGTGAGGAAAACTCAGTATGGTTTTTAAAAACAGTGCCACTGTCTGCATTCTGGGGCCATTTTCCTTCCCATCATCTGCATCACATCAACCTCAACAACTGCTCTATTCTTTTTGACTGCCTGTTGCCAATAAAAAGAAAAAGAACAGCACTGTGTGCTGAAAAACACACTCCCCTGGCTTCCTGGTCCTCTACGCTTGAGGGTTTGGAAGATGGTCTTCTATTTGTAGCCTTCTTCCCAGTTTGTACCTTAAACCCCCAAATCAGAGAGTTAAATCTTCACCCCTAATTTCCCATTCTCCCAGGGTTTCTTCAGACATTAACTCCTACAGGATAAGCACTTCTGCTTAAGAACTTGCATGCAAGCTACATGCCAACTGTTCCACGCAATGATCACACATGCATTTATTTTGCTACATTTCCAATTCTTGAAAGCCACAGCCAATAGTGGAATCACATATGGTATACTTTATGTAGTTTGCACGCAATTTCTCACGTGTCACTGCTAACCACATAGAACAGCTGTGATGTTTGAAGCATTCCTAAAAAAGTGTCGATGTGGAAAGAGAGAGTCATGCTATGATTTGATAACTGTTGGTATTTTTTTTTACCTTCTGCTTCTTATTGTACTAAATCTTAAAAGAGGTAAAGATACACATGTATACACACATACACATATGAAAAACACATACTTTCTGCACATTATTCATTTAAATTTGATTAAATAGCCACATCTGTGCCAGTGATATTCATTAGGAGACTGTCATGGACCAACTGAAATGTAGGGAACAGTTTAGAAGGATTGCAAGCCTAATAAAATATATATTTTAATATACAGGAAGCAAGCTGTTTTCCATGTGTGTATACAAGTACTCATACCGGCACATGACAATTCATGTGCCCTTTGTGCACAGTGTTAGAAATTAGCCACAATTTAAAAACCTTTGTCTTAGTTCATGGTTAATACAATTTCCATTTCCACTGTGTTTGTTTCTCCTTATTGTATACCAGGACAAGAGAATTGTTGTAAGAGCAAGCTAAAATCAAGCAATGTAGTTGGGATCATAGAATCACAGCATTGGAAGGAACCCCGAGAGTCATCAAGTCCAACCCCCTGGAGAACAGAAATTCCATTGTGTTGACCGTAACCTAGATTTAAGGCGTTATTTGGCACCTAGCTTATAAATCTGAGTTTCTAACACTGTGGAGACCTGGCTTTCTGATGAGCATTCAGGGGAGCAACCACAGTTGTGTAGACCAGAAGAATGCTCTTTGAGGACTTGGACTATGGATGGTACAACAAAGAGGGAACAATTGGGTCTCCATGTACTGCTACGCTACTGAGCTATGCATATCACATTCATGTTGTTGTCCCTGCCCACATGGATCCAATATTTATATAAAACTTTAGCAGTGTAAGAGAACTCAACAGGGGTGAGATTACTACACTACTAATGCTATGTGTGATTATGGCTTCAGTAAATTTTCAAGGACAACATATATAGGTGCAATGGCACTCTCACACAGTGCTAATATTAAAATCACCTCTTTCTATGCTGGTAGAGTCTTTGTACTGATTCTGCCATTCTTCTCCTACATCTCTTTCAAGTTCCCATTAACTGCGCTAATGTTTTTCCTCTCCTCTTCTCATCAGAATTACCTTGCTTCTAACTGGTTATGCGATCATTCCCTTTGCTCCCTTCTCCCACTCTCACCTTTGAATCTACATAGGTGCATCACTACTGCATACAAAATGAGACCTCAATCCATGTGCCAGTTCCCTTTCCTTAGATTATGTGCTGCCTCTATATTAAGAAGCTGCCACCCAGACTCTGAGGAAAGGGCACCTTACAGCTGACAGATTTTTTAACCCAATTTATTCTTATTTACCTGTGTTACGTCCAGTTTTGATGGAAGATAGAAGAATGAAAAGTGCTAAGAATTGTACTGTTTGATGTAGGAGGTGTGGCGATTAGAAACCGAAGCAAAACTGGCTAAAACAAAACTGGCTAAAACAATGGTTCAGTCTACAAGCAAAACAATAACAGGGGCTGTATAATGATTACATAAATCTTAGTTGATTAGTTTTGTGAGTTGAAGTCAATTAATTAATTCTGCACGTGAGAAAAACAACAGGTCTAAGAAATAAAGGGCATTTGTTTTTAGATGATGTGTCACAGAAGACATCATAATAGATGAGGGATTTGCCTCTTTTAAAATGGTTCTTAACTGCAGTTTTTATAAGCAATGCTATTAAAAAATATTTTTGAATGCTTTAAAATCTGCTTACCCATCAAGAGAACCTTTATAGTTGATTAAAATGTTTTAACTGAATTGTAAATAACTAAATAGACTCACTAAACCCTCCAAGTGCCCCAAAATTCCAACAAAAATAAAGTCAACCAAAGGTAGTTGCTGCAGACCAAAAATCTATATGTGAAGACTACTGTCTCTAAAGCAGAATCTTGTTACTGTCATCATAGGATTAAAAAAAACACTCTCACTATCAATCCACAATAGATTACTGATCTTGACTTGACATGCTTCTTAAAGTGATTTGTCAGAAACACTGGAAAGGACTTAGCATTCCATAAAATATACAAAGACTTCTTTTTATAAAAAGTGCGCTGAACACACATGCATGTGCACAAACTTACTCCCAAGTATGTCTCACATCATGCCCTGCACATTATCAGGTTGTGGCAGATATTGAAGGAAAAAACCAAAGAATTGTAGAGTTGGAAGGAAATACAAGGGTCATCTAGTCCAACCCTCTGCAGTGCAGAAATGTTTTGCCCAATGTGGGGCTCAAACCCACAACCCTGAGATTAAGAGTCTCATGCTCCATCACCTGAGCTACAGAAACCCCAATTGTTGTGAAGCAGTCACTAAGTTTCTGTGTACGGTTTCCCCAACGCTGTGCTAGCTGAGGCTGATGGGATTTGTAGTCCATAGCATTTTGCAGGCGCCAGATTGGGGAAGGTTGGTGTCACCTTTTTATTGCAGACTAAACCAATGCCTTCCTATACACTCTCTAGTTTTTAAATAACTAATGTTGTATTCTGTGGCTACCGTATAATGGATTCTTTTGCAAGTTAAGAGGGATTATTATTTCAAGTTGGAGTAGAGCAGGTCAGTGTTCTCTAGCTGATACAGCAAAGCCTAACTAAGCCAAGGAAGAGCATAACTAAGCCAGAACTAATAACTCAGCTGACAGAGTCCATTCTCCCTGCAGATATGACACCAGCAAGATCAACCAGGGTAGAGTCATTATGCACTTTAAAGAGAACCCAGAGAAAGGAAAAACAATTAAACAATTGCTCGTGGCAGGGCTAGAAAACCCTTAATTCCCACACCAGGGAATGTCTGACCCTGCAATAACAACTCATACGGTGCAACTAGCTCATACAGACTGGGAAGTAGTTCTGCACTCCTAATGCAGCTCCTGTCATCTTGGCGTGAGCATCATGACTTGGGTGTATATGGCTTGGCTAGAAAACCACAGCATCCCTCAGGGTAGTGGTAAGAATGGGGGAAGGTTCATCAAAGTAAAAGATGTGGGAGGTAAGACTGTAGTGGCTTTGCTGAAGAAATTTGGAGGGAAACGCTTTAGGGGAGAAAAGGGCTGTGCTTGACAAGTGGAGAAGGGGGTGATTTTCCAGGCACAGGTTTACATTCTATGATTTACTCCCATTCAGTCAGAATACTTGGTATTAACAAAGAGTTCAGCAGCTTGAAGAACTCTGCATCCATTTTAAAAAGCAGCTTCTGGGAATGTCAGTGCAAATATGCTTGAAAGGGTGCATTCAATGTATGGTAACGCCGCAGAAACTGCGGAGGCAGAGTAATAATTCCACACTTCTTAATTTACAGAGTCAACTAAAGTCAACTTGACTTAGACAATTTGGGTGACCTTGGCACATACACTTTTCTCTTTTTCTTTTTTTAAGATCAAAATATATTGAAGCAACCAGGCAAATAGAAAGAAATGGCAAAAAAAGCATAGAAGCTGGAGAGGAAGAAGGAAGCAGCTGCAGCTGACAGCAGATCAGCTCCCTATTGGTCAGAAATGTCCACATATACATATCATGTCCTCCAATTACTTTTCTCACAAGCAGGCCAAGCTTTCCAATTAGAAGATGCACAGTATTAATTCACTGTAATCTCAGCCATCATGAAGAACTCATGCTTTTATCAGTATAGCCAGAAGATGCGCTTCCACAGGGAGCCATCATGTGCCTTTATCTGTAAATGACTCTGGCCAACTCTCCACAGTCCATTAAGCTAATAAATCATGTTGGGACCTCTTCTTCAAAGGATATCGAACCAATACTTTGCATGTTTGCAACAGTATTAATATAATGGCTGCAAAAGACTTTCCAGCGAAACAGCCAGAAATAGAACCCTGATCTACCAATCCCCAGTCCTGAGCTCTATCTTTCTAAGCTACCTTATTTCCACAACTAGAAATCTATTAAATTGTTACGGCTTATTCTTGGGACACAGATTTGAGCAAATGGCACTGGTGTATCAGATTCCCCTTTATACAACTTCCCAGCTTAGGCTCATTAAAAGCAGCTTCCGACTTCCTGAGACTATGGAGCAACAAGGGCATAAAACAATCTGTCCAGATCCAGACCAGTTTAAAATCCCCAGTAAGGAGGGATTTCAAGGATTCCCTCTAGGATCTGGCATGCCTAGGCCACCTGTAAGTAGTTTTCTTCAAGCTGCAATTAACAGGTTTTAATATATCCCTACATTTCAGGCAAGGGTGCTATTGTTCATTTCCTCTTAGAAAAGTGGCCTGCAGGTATGGGTTTTTCCCAGCAGCACCAGCATGCCTTTATTACACTTCTCCGAAATCAGCTGGATTGTTTGAATTTAAGTTATTAAGTCAATCGCCTGCACTTAACCACAATATCTAAACATTTCTAAAAGATGAAGTCAAACTAGTATGATCATTAGGAAGATGTAGTGTGACAGGAAGAAAAGGGGGGGCAATGTTGTCTACACAAGGGAGCCCTGTAGCACATGGAATAGATATAAACCCAGATGGTTCAAAACAATGCATGCCACATGCTATAGCACCAATTAACTTTTAGCAAAACCATGTGCCATGCCAGGGACCATTGGTAAAGTCGACTGAAGGTCAAACTCACGGACAATGAGATGATTTGACAGTGACAATCTTTACTGAGAAGGAAGCAGATTAGTGTGAGTTCTGCCATCAAAACAAAGGAGGAAAATGAAACTGTATCAGGAAAGGCCTTATTTTAAGTGTACATGATAACCCATAAAGGGTGAACACAGGAAAGTGCTTGAGAGTGTTAGCAGATATAAGGGGGAACTTATATAAGGGGGAAAGAATAAGAGGAGCATGTAATACATTACAGTGGTACCTCGGGTTACATACGCTTCAGGTTACAGACTCTGCTAACCCAGAAATAGTGCTTCAGGTTAAGAAATTTGCTTCAGGATGAGAACAGAAATCATGCTCCGGCGGCGCAGCAGCAGGCCCCATTAGCTAAAGTGGTGCTTCAGGTTAAGAACAGTTTCAGGTTAAGAACGGACCTCTGGAACAAATTAAGTACTTAACCCGAGGTACCACTGTACTTGTAGTGTAGGCAGGCAGAGAATGGGAATAATCCTGCAACATATTGCAAGGGGAGGAGCAGCAACTGTCTTGAATGTGTGCATTTTAAGTATAAACAAAGAAGATAATTTCATATAGGAGAATGCTTATGGTTAGTACAAGGTAACCATCACCCTTGCAACTGTCCCCATTCTACATACAGCACCCATCCTAATCCCATTATAAGGCTAACAAAGATGCATTCACTGGCCTGGCTATGACTGTAGGGTGAGCAGGGGAAGATCACAAAACAGATATGGGCAAGGGAGAAGATGGAGGGATGGTAAGCACACACAGCCTCTAATGAATCAGAACACTGCCAAGCAGAACGCTGCTCAGATTTAAATCAAATCTCCATTTAAGGAACTCCTGCATTCGTGCTTTTATAAAAAGCAGGCTGGGATTGCAGTGTCTGGCTACAGTTGTTTGTCACAGACTGGCGTGGGGCCTGGCAAGGAACGGGTTATAATGGAGGGGGAAGCAAAGGAAAGGGGGGGAGAGAGAATGGTTGGAAAATATGAAGCAGCTGCTGGTTCGTTTTAAAAAAAAACCACCAAAAAAACGGAGCGAGTCTGAAATCCATAAAACCAACACCTCTTTGAGTTCTGGGCACAGCGAAGCTAGTGGAGCACATGCCAACATAAACGGTGCTAGCTGGAGCCCCCACCCCCTACCCCAAGAATGGGGGTGGAGAGCTGGGGGGGGTGCTGCTGACAGAATGGAGTCAAATCATTTCAGAGGGCTTACAAAATGGAGACAAATAATCCTTCAAGGAGATCCTGAACTTCCAGAAAAGAGAAATGCCAGCCGCCCTACCCTCTCGGAATGCTACTACCTCTTCCCCACCAGGAAGGGCAAAAGTGCCACTCCCCAGCTTGCGGCTCATTCTCACGGCATAGCTTTGAAAGGAGCAGCAGCTCTCCTCCGTCTGCTTTTAATTACAGGGAGCATCCCCTCCCCCTACCTAAAGAGTAGGAACTGTAAGCAGGCAGGAGCCCAGGTGAAAGACTCCATTTCTCCAAGCAGGAGGGGAGGGGGAGCAGACAATGGAATGAGTGATTCATTGCACAGGAACACACTCCAGAAACGGGCTACTGCCACATGGGCTTGCTGAACATCTTTAAAGGGGCAGCACACCCTTTTCCGTTCTCCTGGAAGCTCAGTACAGTACCTACCCCCTCTTTCTCATCTCTGATTGGAAACAGATACTGAATAAAACGCCAGCAAGGCACTGGGCTGTCCAAGAAAGAAAGGGAGGGCGTTTTTGTTCTCCAGACGCTAGTAATTTCAAAGTATAGCCAAAAAAAGGAAACTCCTTTAACATATATAATTCCCTCCCTCTCCACTTTCCATTTCATCTGCAGGACTATCTGAGCTGAGTTCAGGCTAAATTCACCTAAATGAGGCCTAAGGAACAAATCTGGGGCACTTCTGTGATGAAGGTTTCACACATAATTAGAAACATGGGGCTCTTATTTTTAAAGCATTCCAGCCAACAAATGCTATTTTAGTACCAACTTCAGTTCTCTGCATCTATTTTAATGGTACTTCACTGATGAAGTGTACTTATACATTAACACACTGTAAATGCAGAAATACAAATTAAATTGTCAGTTTCGAGTGCATGTGGCAGATTCTGTAACACTTCCCTACTGCCTCTCAATCCAGTCTTAGACATATGACCATATTGTACAGGAGTGAACCAAGAGGCACTCACTCCATCCTCTCCCACTGGAGCACACATCCCCAGAAGAAACTGTTTATACCAGCAGTAGTACACCACCAATATGTTGTGCAAATGGTACTATTCTCTTACCCCCCCCCCAAAAAAAAAGTATCTGAACATATTTGGACGCAGAAGCTTATCCCATTCACCAAAGTAATTAGAACAACTAATATGGTTAGAGCAACTAATTTGGTTCTTGCTCATGGAAACATACTCTGAAAAGAGCCAATCTAGCTGGTGTCATAATACGAACCAAAAATGCTTGTGTACATGAGGCTCCAGCAACTGATGCATTCAAGAGACTCCAAAAGCAATTGATGTAACGAAGCCCCATCGAGACATGACTTGTGATCAGCAGTTCTGAACACAACAGCCAAAGTCTGGATTACAAGAATGTGTGCACCTTCAGGAATTATTCCATAATGCCACCTTAAAGCTTTTTTGCAGCACAGTGCCCTCCAGTTGATTGGAACTACAAAGCCCATCAAATCCAGTCATCATGGAC